AACAGAAGAATCAAATCCATATGCCTTCCATTTAGTTTCTCTCTTCCCTAACGAGCGGTATTGATCAGATATATCTTCTTGTCTTCCATTAAAATCAAAGAACTCATCCTGTACCTCCATGATAGTATTCTGCACTATTTCAGATGAATCTACATCATTCTCTACTACCATCTGCTCTCCTATTTCAACACCATCCTTACTACCATTGACAGCACTCTCCATCCGTATCATAAACTCCTGAGTCACTCTTGCTAAATCCTTTAGTTTCAGAAAAGTTGTTGTTGGTGTCTGTGTCATATTTCCTACATTTGTTATTGCCGTCGTACCATTAATCTCTTTCAAAGTTGCTATTAAAATAGTTGCTTTAGTTGATGTATTAACACTCTTAACTATTTCCAGTGGGAAAGTTACAGATATCCTCTGTGTATTATTTACTGTTGGAGTGGCTACTGTAATATACTTCTCCTGAACTCCTTTGGTGACCGTGGAAGCTTCAACAGACTTCAAATCTTCCATCATAAGCGTCACCTTACGAGTTACATAGCCTTTTAACCAATAATTCTTAGCCGGAACAAATTGTAATGCTTGCACTAAATAAGTACACATATATTCTCCCTGATCTTTCCATGTAACATTACGCAAAATAAGTGAGCAATCACTCATAACCCTCTTCCACTTCATATCGTTGTACAAAATATACTTCCTTTGACTAGATGAAACAGCTTATACTTCTAGTCTTCATAACAACACTTCTTCTCCATAATTATCTCTCCACATGAGAGGAATATCACCTCTACACATTCCTTCTCTCACATCTACAAGGAAGATGAGCTGTACCACCCATCCTAACCCTAATGACAGTCTTTCCTCTAAAATTGGTGCTGGAGCGATTGCCTCCCTTGTAATCAAATGTGATACATTTATAGCTTGAATAACTGTCAATGTTGAAAGAGTTGAATTGCTTCTCACTGTTGTTATAATAGGCTGAAGTGTTGATGTCATTGTTGTTGATTCATCCATTCTCCCTAAAGCTTAGAACTCTTTACTTGTATTTCCATCTATCACCACTAGTATCACTACATTAACTCTCAGTCCCAACTCTAATCCCTCACTTTCAAACTGTTGATTATAAAAAATACATTTATAATCACCTTGATCTTCCTGCTGGGAATCGTAAATATAGATACTGCAATCACCCTCAATCTTCATTCTTCTCTTATCATTCAGCAACGCATACTTTCTCAATGCAACTGCTCCTAACAGATCTAAACTCCTGCCATATCTATCTTCCCACTGAACTCTAAATTTCCCTTCACCACTGTTCTCTCTCTCTTACTACTAACATTGAAGCTTAGCTGACTGTCCTAGAGTTCCTTCAACCCTAGTTTTCCTAACTTTTTAGTCTGACTTTTCTCTTAATTTTTCAAAAACCATTTCACCGATTTATCCACAAATTCCTTTCCCACTAATTTGAGGATATGTGATCGGGAAGTCCCCACCTGCTTATGACTTCTTTACACAAAGACTTGGCAAACGACTGAGCATCTTTTATCTTAGTTTGACATCTTATGCACCTCTTGGTGTAGGAATGTAACCAAGAATAACAGTCACCCCCTGTAAACATAATTTTTCAGACAGATTGTCCTCCTGCCTATGACATAGTCAATCTGTTCAAGCAAATATGATTCCCAAAAACCCTACTCCTTTATGATCTTTCTCCTAATCTTAGCCTTCTTTAAAGAATCTTCACTGAGATTTCCAATCCAGAATACTGTAGACTAATCCATCTCTGTCATCATCAACAATTGGTAAACCTTTTCCTTTGGCACTTCTACCAGACAGCCGTCTGGTGTACATCTTATTGTACAGTTCAACTTACACAATGCATCTCTTCACAACAATGCAATAGGTGTATGTTCTGATACCAGTATGGGTATTGTAATTTTTTTTTTTTTATAGCAGAGCTCAATTGGTTCCGTAAGAGGAATCAGCTGTTTTACTCCCTCGAATCCCTATCCCAATTAGTTAATTTTGACATAGTGAGATGTGTAGCATCTTCAGGCCGAACGCAGGTAAAAGCAGCTCCGCTATCCGCCATTACTTCCAATGGTCGGTTGTTTATTTACACCTCAATTGTTGGATCTTTTTCCGGTCCTGATGCTACCAGCTGACACCCCCCTTTCGGATCTTCTGGGCACCCCTAGAATCCTTGCTCCTTGTCCCTATAAGGGTTCACCTGTCCTCCAGATGATCTTCACTTGCTCCTGTATCTTCCTCTGAAATTCCCTCTGATGTTTCCTCCTGGCCCATTGCACTCACGGGCAAAGTGACCAACCTGTCCACAACTATAACACACTTCTGAAGGTTGCTGGAAGTATGGCTTAAATCTTCCTCCTCTTCCTCTTTCTAAGCCTTCTCGTCCTCTTCCTCTCCAATTCTGTGTCTGTCCAGAAACTGTCTATGGATATGAAACAACTGTTACCGCTATTGGTGGCTGGTACAATTGCGGTTGGAACTGGTCCGGTTGAAGCTGTGGCAGTGATTGTTGATTTGGTGCACACTGATTCTGCATAACCAAAGCTTGTTTCTTCTCCTTCTTATTCTCCAACAGTTGTATTTGATTGAGTTTTCTGAGAGTTTCTTGGTCCTGTTCTTTCTGGTTGTGTTCCTTTTTCCTGTACAGATCCACTTGATGGGCTATATGATCTGTATAGACGCCTTTTGTCATGCTTCCAAGTCCAACCACCTCTGCCAGTTTGCTCCTTACTGGTGAGGGCAGTCCCATCTGCAGTTTAGCTCTCAAAATTGACTGCTCAATTTGACTCACATCTGGATCATTTCCGGTAATATTTCTCCACACTTGATGGACTCTTGACACATAGGCTCTCTGATTTTCTTGTTGTCCTAGTGGATCAATCAGAATGTTGTCAGGATGCACATTTGTTGGAAACTTATCTTTCAGTGCTCTCCATAGCCGATTCCTACTTGCAGCCAACAATTCAGGGTCGTTCACTGCAGTCCCCACATATCTATTGAGTCCCGCTCTCTGAAATATTTCTTCCATATCTGGAATCCCAAGGAGATTAGCCAAAAGTCTCTTAATGTCTCCTATGGCTGACTGTGTTCCCACCGTAATTTCTTCCAATTTTGAAATCCAAGGATAGGCTCCATCTTGAAGAGTAGGCAGCTTCTCAAGTATATATATATATATGTATATCTGACATATCGGTATTTTGCAAAGGCTTATATTCTAGGTTTTGTCATCGAATGATCACTGGCATCATCTTCTTACTGGTGCCCTCTTTCCTTGGCCTCAATGTATACTTTTTCTCCAATTCTTGGGACCCTTTCCTCAGCAGTTTTTTCTTCTGTATCTTCAGCTTCTTGAGTTGTTGTTCCAGTTCTCTTACTTCTTCTAAATTATTCGCTTTATCCAGGCATGATACGCATCAGTCTATATCTCTTTCTATTTCTTCTGTGCTAGTCATTGTAGGATAAAATCCTCTTGAATATGAAGCACCTTTAATCTCCAAATCTTTATCGCTGTCTTCATCTTCGCTTTCATCAGAACTAGAATATCTTGTATTCTTCTTCTTCAAACATCCATCACCCCTTCTTTCCGCTCTGGCCAACCTCCGTCTGATCACAGGGTCATATCCACCCATGATCTCTTCTGAATCACTCTGATCATCATCATCATCTTCAAGTTCCATCCTCCTGAACCTCACTCCACCCTTAGTTTCCAGACATCTCGTTTTCTTCTTACTTTTGGAGTTTGGATTCACTTTTATGGTCGTTTCTGCTTGTCCTCTCTCTATTATTCGTTCATCTTCATCTCTGATGCAATAATCACCCTCCTGAATGATCACTGGAAGCTGAGGATAGACGTCCTTAAACTCTACTTCTTTCTCATAAGGTGGGGGTCTTTTTGCTGAATCCGTATGTGAGAAAGGTGTCCTGACTTCTGTCATTAGTTTTTCTGTCACCTTCACTTCTTTTACAATTTTCTCTATATCTTTGTTTCTTTTATCGTTGGTATCTTTCATCAATTTTTGTCCTTCATTTTCAAACAGCTTAAGAACACCCAGCTCTCTTTGTCTCTTTTCTTTACGTTGTTCCCCCTTTTTCCCTTTCTTTTCATCTGCCTTATGAATTGACAGAAGCACTTTCATTATGTTGATGACGTCAGGGTTAAGAGTCCCTTCCACTGGCCATGGTTGTTCAATGTCAGGCCAACGTTTATTCCATTTTCCAGATAACCTTGCAATACCATTAACTAGAGGATTACTATTTTGTACTACATCAACAGGAGTAATTACTTTCATAGTTTTGATGTCCTTTTTCCCCATTGTAACAACTCTTTTATATTCCTTTATTGTGAATTATTTTATTATTTTAGACTATATAGCTTATGGTTCCCTCCCTTTTTAATTAAATATTTTTTATTTTGTTTGTATTTTTTAATTAAACAATGAATGAATGAATGAATTAATTAAATCAATATGTATGTTTTTTTTTTTTTTACGCCATTTCTGTTGTTTCTAAATAATAATGCTAATTATGCTGTGAGACCAAGGAGTCCGCTTACACTGTACTTTGATTATAAAGGTTTATTTATATCACAAGATTTCAGCGTAAGTTTACAGACATCTGCAGGCATCTGGAGAACAACGACCCAAAATAATATGTTGTTCTGTCCTCCTTTGTTTTAACCATGGTATTTATATCCTATGCCCTATGTAACATAATATGGGTGTTTTCCCCTAGAGACCAATCCCACGACTCCACACAACAGACTTCCTCTGTTTTATGGGGTGCCCCTATAAAACTGCTCCCCAGATGCTTCCCTAAGCTGAATCAACATCCTCCAAGATACAATTTGCAAACGTTAGCAAAGTCATAAATTCCTTAGACACCACAACACCTTCTTAGTTCCAGGGATGTGTATTGGTAAGAGATGATGGTTTCATGATTTCTCAGAAATGACTCACTCATCTAACCCATCAAACACACACTTTTAATTGACATGCTGCTTTCACGGGTGCACACACTCTTTCTCAAATATACACACAGAGGCAAACATTAATTGAACTTCATGAACTTAAAGGTCTCAAACATATCTGTCATTATATTCAGCAACTACTGATGGAACTATTGGAAGAAAATTGTCCAGTTCATCACACTTCATCATTTATCAAATGTACAGTGTCTAAAGTGAACTAATAAAGTACAGTAGTTATACAATAAAAACAAGACAAAACAGATGTAGTTACTGTTCCATTAGAGATGACTTCTTTAATTGAAAATATACTTACTAAGTCAGTGAAAACCTTGGTTGAGAGCATGCTGTTTCCAAAACATCCAGAGGATATCCTGTGAGAGTATAGTGTCAGGCCAGCTGTATCAGTGTGTACACAGTACCACTGCACTGACTCATTACACAAATAACTCTGTTATTGCTAGAAAAAGCCTCTCAAGTGCTTCTTAGAGGACACTCGATTACACTGGAACTAGAATTAGCAAAGTATGAGCAGAATTAGCAAAACTATTTTCAGGAGGAGTGTAAATGTTTCTTTCAATTTGCACAAGTTCTCTTGCACAATTCTTAGGACACTCAATCACACTGGTAGCTCAAACATATAAAAAGGAGGGTTCCAGGATCAGGGTTGCCCCCCCAGCCATAGGCATAATAGCCATGCGAATACATCAATATACACATTGTCATATAATGTCTAATAGAGACATGACTAATACAGTTCTATACTACAGTTTATCCCAGGTGTTGGCTGAGGTTTCAGAGCCCCTTCTGGCTTGGAGGGCATGTGGTATCTCAGACACTTCCAGAAGTGGCCATTAGGGGATGCAGTGGAGCTGCTCTTTCCAGATCTGGGCCTCCTCCACCTCAGAGCTCCCTGCTTCCTCCTGATGTAGTGCAGTGACTCAGGTAGAGAAGTGTAGTCCAGCTTGCCATCTATCTCCACCAGGACAACCCGGAGGCCATTTTGGATCAAAGCGTCGTACAGGCCAATCTGCTGGTCGTAGCTAGGGCGGTTCTGTGGGCTCTGGTGCAGTGGTAACTGGTCCTCAGGAACAATTTTGGGGTGCAGAGGGGATGCACTCTGGTCTGACAGGACGATGATGAGCCGTCTGCTTCTCCGCATGGTCTCTGAGGTGACATCATGGATCGCTACAGAGAAACATGGGACTTTATTTAGTGAACAGGGACAATGCAGTAGATCAACATTCACATCAATCAAAGTGTGTGTGTACCTTCCCCAGGGAGGTCATCCCGGCCACTGACGAAGAGTGTGTATCCGTATCGTCTCTCCAACACCTCAGGTAGAACCTGCAGAGCAAACATCTCTGCCCTGGACAACCCATCACCATGGAGATAACTGACATAGGCATCATACAGCTTTCCATCTGGTGCTGGAGAAGTAAAGAGGAGAGGAGCAGAAAGGAGGAGAAGAGAAGATAAACATATTATCCATTATAAATATAAATACTTAGAAAATGGTCAGAGACCCTCAGGTTTAGGGCCAGGAATCTTTTGTGAACGTGGGAGATCTCTGATTACGCACCTTGCTTTTTGGACACAAGAGGGCGCAGTCTCCTATAGGCCAGCACCAGGTCCACTTTAAAGAGGCAGCACATCGCTACTCCAAGAACCACCATAGAAAAGGCCAGGCAGAGACACACGCATGTGTAGAAACCACTGTGATTGGCTAGAAAGGAAGGAAGTGCGCTATGAAGAGGTTATCACATTCTGTGCTGACTGACAGTAGCTAGTCTAAGTTACTGTACCAATATCAGCACCTTAAATCAAATCTCTCACAAATTACATGGCCAACGTCCTGTTCAAACACAGACTCTTATGGGTGATTTGAAGTCCTCCATGTTACTTAGGACTGTGGTTGGGATCCTACCTGGTTGGAGCCAGAGCAACCCTATGTCCCGACCCAGGGCGTTCCAGGCAATGCAGCTGATGGGCACGTTGAGGAACTCAGGACGGACCTCATAGATAGACAGAGTGGACTGGCCATAGACCCCACTACTGCTAGGATGGCTGAGGGTCAGGTGGTGAGAGAGTGAGATGGTCACAGTGTAGGACAGAGCTCTATACACATACTCATGCACACGCATGTGTACCCACACACGCACACACACACACACACACACACCTCTACAAACACGCAAAATGAGATACAGAGTGTATACTACAGGTTTAATAGAGTACTCACATTGTTGTCTTTGTCACGTCGAGCTGTTCTATGTGCTCAGTATGGCTTCCATTTACTGTCCAGAACATAGAGCTCTCTGACTCCGTACCTTCACCGACCCCCAGAAATGCTGAACACAACAGCTCTATCCTTGAACCTGCCGTCAAACAGAAAACACTGAGTCAGTGGCTGTGTCATGGCCCTTTTTAGTATTATCTACAAAAAAGCTTGATGTCATCATTTCTCACCTGGTTCAACCATAACCGTTACATTTATGGGATCGGTTACTTGGGGTTTCAACAGGACTTTTTCTGCCAATAAAAAGACCACACAGGTATGGCAAGATAGTCAAAAAAAGCCTTATCGATAATGTACAGGTAAACAGAAATGCTACAATCCTTATAAAGTTACAAATCACCTATTTATAACAAACAGAGAATAACAAATACATGGAAATATAAAAAAATATATAAAAAATTCACTCTTGGTTGCAGCCACAGAAAGCGTGGTGAGAAGAAATATACGCTCATGACATAGAATTGAAAAGGAGCTTTAGCTTTACCTTTGTTGACTTTGAGCTGAGTGCTGTGGGTGGCAGTGTGGTTTCTCCCCTGCAGAGAGAACTCTACCAGGCAGGTATAAACTCCAGCATGGCTTTCAGTAGCATTGACCAACCGGAGCCTCTTCAGACCATCTTCTTCAATGATCTTCTCTCCATGCTGGTCGACAGGGCTACAGTCCTGCACATCCCATCAGAGATGCTGTGTGTCAAAGTTAGGTCACGCAATCCTATCTACTTATCCCAAATGTCTTCAATGTTTTTTTCTATTACCAATGTTGAGCACTTGACAGCAATGACACAAGGTATCATGCCCGTTGTCATAAGCTGATGTCAGCTCTTATGACTGTTCATGACATCTGTTATGACATTACTATGACATTGTAATGCAGGCCTTATGACAGGGGTATGTCTAGATGGGCGTCTACTCTTACCTTGAACCATCGGATGTGTGCTGTGGGGTCTAGATGGAGGACATCCTGCTGTCTGCAGAACACTACTCCACTCGTCCCCTGGGATACAGTCCTTATCTCCGCTGGGACCGGACAGGGCCCCGTGTCCACAGACAGCACAAACTCCTTCTCCCACGATCTAGTGGGGTACCGGTGTCATAACACACATGAACATATGACCAGCGCTCTCCATTTACTATTGTAACAGTGAAGTTGAGAATTATTAATGTGAGACATTAATACATTTAGGATCTGGAAAGTGAAGACTGATTCATGCCAATCATCCTGGTTCAATCTCTGTGTGTGATATTGGAATTACCTCCAAACATTCTTGAAGTCACTTTAGGAACTAAAATAACTGATACACTTCAACTAAGGCATTTGATCAACTACATACAGTAATCTACAGAGGTTTCTTACCTGCTCTCACAAGTGTAGTGTCCATTATGGGAGGTGTGGGCAGGTAGAAACCACAGAACCTCCCCTCTGATCTCCACCCCAGAGGTCATGTTAAGGGTCTGGTTCCCCCCTCTGCTCCAGGTCACGGTGGTACAGTCCTCAGCGTCATCGTCATCACCACACTTCAGCCGGAAGAAGTGACCTGCACTGATGTGGTGGACCTCTACGGCCCCCTGGTGTTCTGGATGACACAGTGAAGAGGTTGTTGTTACGGGTTTATGTCAACTCAATACGACTTCATCAATTCCCTCAGGGGCAATTTAGAAGGAAGAGGACAGGAGCACTTCAAAGTGTATAGGCTTGAGGTTTAGCAGTATATGACTCGCTGAGAAAACTGGAACCAGATGGCCTGTCAAACACAGTCAGCTGCAACCCACAAGCCATCAGCTGTGACCCTCCAGTGGGTCCTGACCAAATCACCATAAGCCACTGATGAAGAGTAGTAGCTAGCTATGCTAGAGAAAATATGTATTGAGCATTGACAGTAAAATTACAATGTTGAGCACTTTTCAAGGCACCTCTAGCAGGAAATGAAACTGCTGCTGTTACACTTTAAGAGGTTGCTTGACCTTAATCTCTGCAATAGCCATCTACATGCATAAAAAGAAGGGCAAATCAATCAGCCTTTCTTCTGACGCACATTTCAGATTTTGACCCCATTTAGGGAGACAGGATGTATAGAAGGAGACAAACATTTAAAAGAGCCTTTCAAAACTAAACAGTGATGGGGAGGGAGGGGAGAGGGGGATAGAGAGAGAGCATAATACCACCTGTCTCCCATGACAGAAACAGTAAAGGCGAACATACTAGCCAAATACTACACTACATAGTCAAACATACTACACCATTTCACACACCTAAATTAAAGCCCCACCTTTGAAAGTGTTAATAAAGCCTTGAAAAATAAAATAATTTATATACAAGTTACTGATAAAAGCTTTATAACTTCTTAATAACAGTGGTGTAATGTAACTAAGTAAAAATACTTTGAGGTAGTATAGTACTTAAGTAGTTTTTTGGGTATCTGTACTTTTTTTGGGCAACTTTTTAATTTTACTCCACTACATTCCAAAATATGTACAAAAGTACTCGTTACATTTCAAATGCTTAGCAAGACAGATTCACTCACTGTCCAATTCACGCACTTATCAAGAGAACTTGCACCGCGGTCATCACTTCTGCCTCTGATCTGATCACTAAACACATGCTTCGTTTGTAAATTATGTCTGAGTATGCCATTGGCTATCCATAAATAAAATAAAAAATAAAATTGTGCTGACTGGTTTGCGTAATATAAGGAATTTGAAATGATTTATAGCATTTACTTTTACTTTTGATACTTAACTATATTTAAAACCAAATACTTTTAGACTTTCTCAAGTAGGCCTAGTATTTTACTGAGTGACTTTAATTTTTTTTTAGGTATCTTTACTTTTACCCAAGTATGCTATAGATCTAAATACTGTAGTATTACCATATTTGTATACTATAGTTTTCACTGTAGTGTTTTTGTGGACTTTACTGTAGTGTTTTTGCGGACATGACCATAGTTGCTATAGTATTCACTCAAAGGTTTTTGCGAACATGACTGTAGTATATTATAGTATTCACTGTAGTCTTTTTGTGAACATAACTGTAGTATACTGTAGTATTTACTGAAGTGTTTTTGCGGACATGACTGTAGTATATTATAGTATTCACTGTAGTGTTTTTGCAGACATGACTGCAGTTTATTATAGTATTCACTGTAGTGTTTTTGCGGATATGACTGTAGCATACTATAGCAGTGGTTCCCAACCAGGGGTACTAGGACCCCTGGGGGTGCTTGGCCTATCCACAGGGGGTACTTGAGAAGACTCATGAGACCACAGGCCTAATGGTAAGCTGCACGAGGGGTACTTCAGGGGTACTCCGGGCAAAGCAACATTCAGTTGGTAGTACAATAACTGAAAAAGGTTGGGAACCACTGTACTATAGTATTCACTGTAGTGTTTTTTGGGACATGACTGTAGTATTCTATAGTATTCACTGTAGTAGTTTTGCAGACATGACTGTAGTATATTATAGTATTCAGTGTAGTGTTTTTGCGGACATGACTCTAGTACACTGTAGTATTTACAGAAGTGTTTTTGCGGACAAGACTGTAGCTCAGCATTCAACAGCATCGTATCCTCCAAGCTCATATTTAAGCTCGAGGCCCTGGGTCTGAACCCCGCCCTGTGCAAATGGGTCCTGGACTTCCTGACGGGCCGCCCCCAGGTGGTGAAGGAAGGAAACAACACCTCCACTTCGCTGATCCTCAACATTGGGGCCCCACAAGGGTGCGTGCTCAGCCCCCTCCTGTACTCCCTGTTCACCCATGACCGCGTGGCCAATCACGCCTCCAACTCAATCATCAGGTTTGCAGACGACACAACAGTAGTAGGCTTGATTACCAACAATGACGAGACAGCCTACAGGGAGGAGGTGAGGGCTCTGGGAGTGTGGTGCCAGGAAAATAACCTCTCACTCAACGTCAACAAAACAAAGGAGATGATCGTGATCAGGAAACAGCAGAGGGTGCACTCCCCTATCCACATCGACGGGAGAAGGTGGAAAGCTTCAAGTTCCTTGGCGTACACATCACTGACAAACTGAAATGGTCCACCCACACAGACAGTGTGGTGAAAAATGCGCAACATAGCCTCTTCAACCTCTGGAGGCTAAAGAAATTTGTCTTGGCACCTAAAACCCTCACAAACTTTTACAGATGCACAATTGAGAGCATCCTGTCGGGCTGTATCATCGCCTGGTACGGCAACTGCACCGCCCGCAACCGCAAGGCTCTCCAGAGGGTGGTGGGGTCTGCACAACACATTACCGGGGGCAAACTACCCGCCCTCCAGGACACCTACAGCACCCGATGTCACAGGAAGGCCAAAAAGATCATCAAGGACATCAACCACCCGGAGCCACTGCCTGTTCACCCCGCTATCATCCAGAAGGCAAGGTCAGTACAGGTGCATTAAAGCTGTGACCGAGAGAATGAAAAACAGCTTCTATCTCAAGGCCATCAGACTGTTAAACAGACATCACTAGCACATTAGAGGCTGCTGCCTATAGACATAGACTAGAAATCACTGGTCACTTTAAGAAATGGAACACTAGCCACTTTAATAATGTTTAGATATCTTGCATAATCATCTCATATGTATATACTGTATTCTATACTATTCTACTGTATCTTAGTCCATGGCGCTCTGACATCGCTCGTCCATATATGTATATATTCTAAATTCATTCCTTACTTAGATTTGTGTGTATTGGGTATATGTTGTGAAATTGTTAGATATTACTTGTTAGATATTACTGCACTGTCGGAGCTAGAAGCACAAGCATTTCGCTACACCCGCAATAACATCTGCTAAACACGTGTATGTGACAAATACAATTCGATTTGATTTGATTTGGGACATACAGCTCTGCCATCAGCTCTACCACCAGTATCATGACTGTGTCATTGTCATTAGCTGCTACAGCTAAACTAATTTACTAATGTTTTATTGCACCATATAGTATTGTTTTTTTTTTCCATACAAGATCTAGGTCGGCCTCAATGTGGTTGGGTAAGCTCCTTCCTCATTGGCCATGTCAGTTGAACAGTGCCACAGTGTTTCCCAACCCCTCTGTTTGTCACAGCTACAGTGCATTCAGAAAGTATTCAGACACCTTGACGTTTTCCACATTTTGTTACATTACAGCCTTTTTCTAAAATGGATTAAAAGTAATAATAATCCTCATCAATCTACACAAAATACCCCATAATGACAAAGAAAAAACAGGTTTTTAGAAATGTTTGCACATGTATATATATATATATTCTTTAAATACCTTATTTACATAAGTATTCCAACCCTTTGCTATGAGACTCGAAATTGAGCTCAGGTGCATCCTGTTTCCATTGATCATCCTTGAGATGTTTCTACAACTTTATAGGAGTACACCTGTGGTAAATTAAATTGATTGGACATGATTTGGAAAGGCACACACCTGTCTATATAAGGTTATAAGGCCCTCCCCAGCCCTCCTTTTGGCAAATCTGATCACGACTCCATTTTGCTCCTCCCTTCCTATAGGCAGAAACTCAAACAGGAAGTACCCGTGCTAAGGACTATTCAACGCTGGTCTGACCAATCGGAAACCACGCTTCAAGATTGTTTTGATCACGCGGACTGGGATATGTTCCGGGTAGCTTGCAAAAATAATTTAGACAAATACACTGAAACAGTGACTGAGTTTATCAGGAAGTGTACAGGATATGTTGTTGCCCACTGTGACTATTGAAAACTACCCTAACCAGAAATCGTGGATAGATGGCAGTATTCGCGTAAAACTGAAAGCGCGAACCACCGCATTTAACCATGGCAAGGTGACTGGGAATATGGCAGAATACAAACAGTGTAGCTCCTCACTCCGCAAGGCAATTAAACTGGCAAAACATCAGTATAGAGACAAAGTAGCGTCGCAATTCAACAGCTCAGACACGAGACGTATGTTGCACGGTCTACAGACAATCATGGACTACAAAAGGAAAACCAGTCACTTCGCCGACACGACGTCTCGCTTCCAGACAAGCCAAACACCTTCTTCGCCCGCTATGAGGATAACACAGTGCCACCGACGCAGCCCACTACCAAGGACTGTGTGCTCTCCTTCTCCATGGCCGACGTGAGTAAGACATTTAAGCATGTTAACCCCCGCGCAAGGCTGCCGGCCCAGACGGCTCCCTAGCCGCGTCCTCAGAGCATGCGCAGACCAGCTGGTTGGTGTGTTTACGGACATATTCAATCTCTCCCTATCCCAGTCTGCTGTCCCCACATGCTTCAAGGTGGCCACCATTGTTCCTGTACCCAAGAAAGCAAAGGTAACTGAGATAAATGACTATCGCCCCGTAGCACTCACCTCTGTCATCATGAAGTGCTTTGAGAGACTAGTCAAGGATCATATCACCTCTACCTTACCTGTCACCCTAGACCCACTTCAATTTGCTTACCGCCCCAATAGATCCACAGACGATGCAATCGCCATCACACTGCACACTGCCCTATCCCATCTGGACAAGAGGAATACCTATGTAAGAATGCTGTTCATTGACTATAGCTCAGCATTCAACACCATAGTACCTACCCCCCAAGCTCATCATTACGCTCAAGGCCCTGGGTCTGAACCCCGCCCTGTGCAACTGGGTTCTGGACTTCCTGACGGGC